GGGGGTTAAATTTTTTATAAATACCAAAATTTTCTCCTAAAAAAATCACACTCAACTCAATCCATCTCTCATTCTCTCAAATCTCAATCTCTCAATATATCATTCAATCATTCTTAACAATCTCTCAAATCTCAAATTTTAATTTCTCAATCTTAATATCTTATTATCTCTTTTATACATTCTTTTTTAAATATATTATATTTTAATATATAAAATTTCGAGATTATTTGAAATTTTCGAAATTTAATATTTCTTTAATATATAAAAATATATAATTTATATTTTAAATATATTCTCTATTTTTTTGAAATTTTCGAAATTTTAATATATAAAATTTCGAATTTTTTTAAATTATCGAAATTTAATATATTATTTTTCTATATCAAAAAATATATATATTAAAATGTCGAGAGAGTCCGGTAGAAGGTCCGTGGATATGGGCGCCGTGAATCAAAGTTTGAGGAGAGGCAAAGCTAAAGCCACCTCCGACGGTTCGACCTCACGCGGTTCTCGAGGAAGACACTCCGTCTCTTCGTTTCCTACTGTCCCAGATCATTTAATCGGGGACGCTATGACGGATGAAGAATTCAACCAGATTTATTCTAGTAGAGGAGACGCGAATCTCCCCACTCTTGATAGTCTATTCGAGGATGTTGATGAAGCAGAACTGGATAATCTTGACGGGGACGATGAGCCTACACCGCAAAGCAACGACGTCGACGTGGAGGCAGGTGAGCCCGAGACCTCTCGAGGTCCGGAAAAAGGTAAAAAAAATATAAATCAGATTTATTTGTTTATCATTTTGACAAAGACACAAAAGATGACATAGTTTATGGAACTTGTAAACATTGCAGGACCGTCATAAAAATGGGAGTTTCCGACGGTTATGGCGGTCTGGAAAAACACCTAAGGTCGAGGCATCCCGTGGAGTACGCCAAATACGAGGCCAAAAAAAAGGGACGACAAGAAGTGCAAACCCAAATTTCTCGGTTTGCTAACAGAGGTAAGGGCGGCCTTTTTGCTTATAGCGACGAGCAAAATAAGCAAAAAATGGCCGAAATGATTTGTGAAAAAAATTTGTCATACATGTTTTCTGAAAAACTTGGTTTTATTAATTATTGTCAACAGGCATTAAACCCTCAAGCACGAGGTTTTTCAAGAAAAACAATTAAACAAGAAATTATTCACCAGTATAAAATTGAAAAAATTAATTTGGCAAATTTTTTTCTCAATTTTAATTCTCGTGTTGCTATTTGTTCTGATATTTGGGATGAAACTTATCATAATTTATCTTATATGGGTGTTACTTGTCATTGGATAGATAGTGATTGGATTATGCATAAACGTGTTCTTGCATTTCGTGATTTCAATGATCAGCATACTGCTGAAAATATTTTTCTATTGCTTCAGAGTATTCTGCGGGAATATAACTTATCTGAAAAAGGTTTTTCATTTGGTTTTGATAATGCTACTAATAATACTGCTGTTATTCCTAGACTTAGAGAAATTTGCCCACCGTCTACGACTATGGGTAGATTTCTGCATCAACGGTGTGCCTGTCATGTTTTAAATTTATGTGTTCAACAGGGACTAGAAGCTATGGGCGGCGTTTTGACAAATATTAAACAAGGAATTAAAAAAATTTGGGGGGCTCGTCTTATTTCGAGGTCCTGGAAGATGTTCTGTAAGTCTAAGGGTAAAAAAGAAATAAGTTTTGCCAGAGATATCAACATTAGATGGAATAGTACTTACAAATTGATTGCACAGATCTTAAGATATAAAGAAGAACTTGCTGAATCTTTTAGGGATAAACTTCGTATAATCATTAATCCTTTTGAATTTGTTATTGTTGAAAAATTGAATGCCGTATTAGAAGTTTTTAATAACGCAACTCTTACTTTTTCCCATGTTTACCAACCAACTACAAATACATTTTTTAAAGAGTGCATTACAATCGCAACATGTTTTCGTGAAAGTATGGCTGATCTAGATTTGTACCCTTATGTTTCTCCTATGAGAGATAAATGGTGTACTTATTATTTGTACATTCCTGATATTTATAAAATAGATATTATTTGTGATCCACGATTTAAGATTGAAAATTTTAAAATTCTAGTTGAGTATTACTACAGTTGTTTTTTAGATAAAAACAGTTATTACTACAGCTATTTAGTAGAATGGAAAAATGAAAGAGATAATGCTATAACTCTTTTTGAGGATTTGTTTAAGGAATATCAAGGGTTATACGGTACTGTACAAGAAGAAACAGCACCACCTCCGCCCCCGAAATCAAAAAAAGGTTTTGCCGGAATAGTCGGTGACCTTCTTGCAAAGAAAGGGAAGCGTGCCCAGTCTTCGACGAGTTCAAGTGGTACAACAGTAAGCTCGCACAACGAACTTGCTATGTACCAGGGTGTGACATGCGATTACGTTGACGACGACATCGATTTTGACGTGCTCGGATGGTGGAAGCGGAACGAACACATGTTCCCATGTCTCGGCATGCTAGCAAGACAAGTGTTGTCCATCCCGGTATCAGCCGTAGCAGTTGAACGAGAATTCAGTGCTGGCGGCAACATTCTAAACGACTACCGAAGTTGTCTTAATGCTGAATCTCTTGAAACACTGGTTTGCAACCAAGATTGGCTCTTGGCAAGACGTCGGGCTCAAGAGTCATCGTACCAACTCGAATCGGAGCATTACATGAATGCAACCACAGATGGAAGTCCGAGTTCTGAAGAATAAGTTATAAATTATTTTTATGTTAATGTAAATATGTAATTAGTTTTTTTAGGTGAGCGATATATAAGCTCCTTTGAGGGTTTCTTTACGGTTCTTTACCTCGTCGCTTTTTTTGAACCGTCAGGATATTAAATGTGGTTGTTTTTCAGTTAGTGTATTACTCATTTTCAATATTTAAATAACAACTACATTTTTAGATTTTTTATTTCATTCTTTCCTTAAACAATTGCAAATTTACAATTTTATACTTTAAAAATTTAAAAAAAAGCAAAAAAAGGGGGGGGGCGAACCCGGCCAGTCCGGTACCAGAACCGCCGGTCCGGGAACCAGAACCGGTACCGGCCGGCGGTGACGGTTCCGGTTACATGGGATGGCGGTACCGGAACCGGAACCGTCCCGGAACCCTACCCTGTCCACCTGCATGATTTCGGCCTCCAACGCACGTCAAAAGTTTAAAGCCGCCCATGTGTCAAAACTCAAAACTTAAAACATGCTATTGACTGTTTATGACTGAACATCTTTGATCTTTGGAAAAGGTGCATTTCAACCAGAGTTTTGAATTTGGCAAAGAATAGGCGGGGAGAGAAATACTGATGATGGGAATCGATTCAACATGGGTGGGACGAAAACCAGTGAGACGCCTGGGCGGGATGTCCGATGCCCTTTCTATTGCCGCCGATCTGGGCTTCGCCGTTTCTCCCCCTCCGTCACAGGTAACCTGGCCCATTCATTACCTCGATTTCACTGTTAAGACGGAACATCAATGGATTTAAGCAGCAAATGGGTTCTGATTCCGAGTTTTGTTTCATGCGATCCAGGAGGAGATCCAATGAATTTCAGCAAATGGATCAAATAATTAATTATCAGCTTAATTGGTTAATAATGATTTCTGTTTCTCAGTTTCATTTCTTGTAGTTTAGGAGGAGATCCAGTGTTTTTCCAGTGGCTCTGGTGAAAAGAGTGATGAATTGGTAAGGGTGTTGAAGGAGCTTACTGCTGTCCAAAGAAAAATTGCAGACTTGCAAGTGGAGCTTCAGGGCAGAAAGGTGATACAACTGATTTAGCTATCATCTATTGTTCTATTCAACAATATTGCCTACAGAGTACAAGAGAATATACTAGCATTTGGTGATTCACCACACGCTGGGCATATACTTTCTATTTTGGCGTAATTTATTTCCCCGTCAAGAAACTCGGTTGTTTCAATGTCGTGACACCCATGTTGGATTTAGGCTTCTTGTTAGACACCCCCACTCCGCGAGCTCTACCAGTGTTCGAATTAGATTCTAATTTTCATTTCCATCAGTAGCTTGTTGTTTGGTGGGAACCTTGAAAGTTGATCTTGTATTGTTGTTTGTCATAGCCTCATTGATCGTATCATATGCTTATTGAAGGGATATTGTGAGCACTGAAGTGACCTCCTTGTCAGTTTCTTAGTACAATTGTATTTCACACAACATCCCTATAAATTATCTCATAAAATGATGAGTGTCGTTCTTGTTACAAAGAGGAATTTATGTATAACTTTCTGATTTCAGGAGGATAAGAACATTGCCCATCTAACGCATGTTAGTGAAATGGAAAAAAAGATCAAGACTTTGGCGAGAATCACAACTATATTGAAAGATGTTATTCAGAACAAGGTAATGTCCACTTGCTGCTACTTTGGAAATTGCTACTTCATTTTCAACTACTTTGTATTTGAGTTTTATGATTGTTGTTTGCATTAATGAGATTTCACATGTGGTGCAATGCATGACTAATTATTATTGTAAATTGTAGAAACTGTTTTAGATGTGCTTCAAGATTCACATTTCTGCACCGACTTTTCAAAATATATGAGTATATGACTGAGAATGTTTACATCCTTTCTTCTTTGGTCTTATAACCAGATTTGGTGTTGTCAAGCTTTTCTTGTTGACCTTTGATAGCTAATCTTTGAGATAATGGATTTCATTCAAAATGTGCAATCATATCTTCTCACCCTCTACTTGATTGTGCATGTGGGTTCATCCCTTTTTGGCCTTTTCTTTGATGTGTAATTTTTTCAGCTCAAATGATATTCTTTGGTTGTAGGACCGTATAATTGCTCGGCTTCAACAACCATATTCATTAGATTGCATTCCAGTGGAAGCAGAATATCAGGTTCATTATTTTAAATTGAATTAAATGATTTTTTTGCAAACATGTGTGGAGATTTTACGGTCTCATTTCAGCGATGCTAGCAACCACAATGCTTAAAATCTAACTTATTCGCAAAATAAACTCCATGGTTTACATAAATTCATCCTTTTATAAAATTTAATAATAATACTAATATTAACTTACAGCGGTTAGTTATTATCTGTTCTTTCTGTAGTCTGTTTTTATAGCTAAAAAAGATTCTGAAAATTAGAAGATTGACAAATAAAAATTCCCTTGGTCCTTATTTTCTATAAAGTTTTGGAAAGCAAATGCATCAATGCCGACAATGCATCAAGGGTCTAATAAATCATACTCAAGTTTAATCTTTTGACCCCACGATATTACTCCATTTGGTCTACAACCTTTTATTAGACTCAATTTTTAAGCGGCAAGTGGAACTGGGAATTTGATTTTGGAATGGAGGGAGTATTGTTTAGAGCAAAAGACTAATGGGGATATCAAATGGCTGCTTATGTCTTTGTGTGACTTGGGTGTTTTTCTATCCTGTACCTCCGTCATGCGGAAAGACTACTAAATTTTGATTTTATGATACTTGTATCTTGTATGAGAAATCAGGAGTTTAGTCTTTCTCATGTAAAGAAGGGGAAAAACCAAAAAACACCTGCAAATTACATGTTTTAGTGATATTGTTTTGATACTAAATTAGTGAAAATATGTGCAGAAACAATTTTCTGAACTACTGATGAGGGCAGCTAGTGACTACAGTGCATTGACGACATCTGCAGCTGACTTCCAGTGGAGCCAAAATTTTAAAGATCCACCAACGACATGGGCAGTACGTCAATTTATTATTGTGATCTGCTTGCAACAAAGTAGCTGGAATATTTACATAAAGAGTTTTATTCCTCCTCATCACCCAAAAAATGGTCTGCATAAAGTAGCATCTTTCTTTAGATTTTTTTCCATATTCCTTTGGATTTTTCGAAATTGTATTCTTGATATTGGCAGAACCTTACTTTGGGAGTCTTGAATTCTCTACTCAGCTTTTGAAGCAAGAATGATTTGGGAATAGGGATAGAGACTATTTTATTAATGCCTTCCTCTTGGTCGGTCTTTCTGCTATAGCTCGTCATCCTCTGGTGTCTATATTGCTTCTTTTGGACTCGGTCTCAAATCTCAAATCTCTGCTTTCAACTCTACTATACCTCGTCGTCCTCTTGTGTCTATAGGATTGTACTAAGCATGGCTACCAACTACTTCAAATGTAATATATTCAATTTGGATACATGTGCGGATCTAGAAATTTGTATCATAGGGGGCACAATTGTTTAGCGAAGCACAAATAAAAATAAAATTTCAAGAACACAATGGTTCAAGGGTTGGTTAGTGTTGAAGCACAATTGTTTACTCCACTAGTCACTTTATATGTGATCAGGGGTTCATTTCCTTTTCCGTGAGGGAAGTTATTTAATGGGACTTTGTTTACTACATAATCTTGCTAGTCCACTGGCCCCCTTCCCCTCACGCCCAAATCTGTAGATCCACCCCTGAACCATTGTATTCTTGAGTGCAAGGAGGTGGGAGAGTGGTTCTTAGCTTTCTTGCGCCCAACAAAGTGTGTGATGAATCTTTTAGCCAAGTTCCCCCGAGAATTAGCTTCGTCTAGCACCTTGTCAAACCAGCCGTAGGCTGAGATGTCCTAGGTTGCAAGGACGAATCTGCACATAAATTCCTCCGAGCCTCTATTGTTATCATATTTGCTTAATTGCAGTTAAGTGGTATCGGGGATTAGAGTTTCCCTAGTAAAATCAAATCCATTAAATCTGGTAATCTGGTGGCATGTCCATTATTGTGGTGTAATCTGTTCGATCAATTTAAGCTTTGGTTGTACTGCTGTATCATACAATGCATTTTTTTCCGCAATTGGTTTAATTCAAATAATTGCAGGAAATGCTTCGTCCTATCCCCGTGGCATTGGCTTCATGCACCAGATTCTTTGAAGCCATGTCTGCAATGAGGGAGTCATTTGCCACACTTCAAGCGTTAAGTGCCCGTCCTCCTTCCTCCAGTGCAACACCAAACAAGGCTCCTTTGCAAAGTGACCAAACAAGGAAGAATTCAGATTGTCTGACTCCACCTCGGAGAACAGAAACGAGTTTTGATGATTTGGCCATTAGACGCGAAGGGCAAGCAAATGAGCTGCAAGAAGTTGCAAGGGGCAGGGAACACGGCGGTGCTGTTGAAAGCCGTAGACTATCATGGCCTACTCCGGTTAAAAAATTTGGTATGTAGCCACGACTAAATCTAACTTGCTTATTATATGTAAATCAACAATTATGTGCATATGATAGTGCGATGCTACGCTATGCTTTTTGTCTTCTCTCTCTCTTTCTCGATCTATCGATATTTTCTTGGTGACTTGGTGCTTCAATGTGTGTGTGTGAAAAGTGCATTTGAATGGTAAACTAGTAAGGTGATTCAGTGCCAAGTTTGAAGGAAAATAAGCAAGAGAGTGTGGGTCATCTTATTATAAACTCTTAGATCAAATATTGCATAACAATATTTCTAAGATCAGCTTGAAGATACTTCTCCGGATTTGGTCACATCTTTTGAGCCTTTCTTGACTAGGATGGCCGGATTAACTCTTTGAATACTATTTGTATGCAATACTACTAAGGTTCTTTTGACATTAGAACCTAATGCCAAAATTTGACATCAGACACGTACGAGCTACGGTGCTGCGTTCGTAAAATTTGATGAATTTTTGTACGTTGTTAGAGATGATCATATTCATATATGCAGAAAACAGAGTGATTCCTCGGTTGACCTAATGCCCTCAGTATATTTTGTAGATTTTTTCACATAAGAATTTTTATTTTTACTTTAATTTTTTGAAAAAAAAAACACTAGGATAATATGGATTAAGAATTTTGGTTAGTGTTCTGATATGTAGACCACGGGTCTCATCCATATAAATAATGATTTTTTTAAATAAAAAGTGTAATTTTCATGGGAAAGTTCACCCAGGTTCGAGTCGGCGAAAGCATTGGTTCTTTGTGTGTCATTAGATTGAGAATAATATGAACAGATATTACCTTGTAATATAGTTAATAACATTCAAAAAAAATTGAAAAATAACTTTAATCAAACATCGTAAGCTGAAACAGACACCATAAATTGGGACGAAAGGAGTACTCCATGTAAGCTATTTTTAAATATGTTGATATATTTAAAAATTACTTAAGAATTCTACAAACCAATAGATTACATGACATTGTTTTATTACTTCCTGTGTTCCAAATGAAATACCGAGTAACATTTTCACTATTCAAAATGTTAAATTTCATTTATTTTCTGTCTATTTTTATTAGTCATTTGATATAGTAAGAATATATTTCCATCATCTTCGATGGAGTCAAAATTTTACCATTTTTTGGCTTTGAGGTGTGATGGAATAAATCAAAATAGGTTTCTAAACTGTCTGCGCTTCTTTAATTAATGAAGTAGCAGTTAGTCAAGCAATGCAACTTTCGGCGTTGAGCCGGGGGTCTCTTTGGAAACAGCCTCTTTACTTTCGAGTAGGGGCAAGGTCTGCGTACACACACCCTCCCCAGACCCTACTCTTGTGGGATTTAACTAGGTTGTTGTTGTTTGTTTGATTGATATAATAAGAATAGTCATGACATAATTTCTTCTGTAGAGCTTTTGATATATTTTTTAATTATGTAAATTTTATTCTTTTCTTTGAGTGTGTAAATTTTATCTTTTAATTTCACATTAATTGTCTTATAAACTAAATGTAAAATAGCTTCAATTCAGCCACCGAAACATGTCATTAGAAATGGGATGGAAGGAGTACGAAATAAGTAATGAAAATTATAAAACTAAGTAAATAAAATTTGATCGTGTAAATAGTACATGGAAACACACTTTCATACGGAAGGAGCATTAAAGCTGCAGTCATATTACCTTATTTTTATAAAAAAATTTATTTTTGTTTTTTAGTATCAAACTTTATTTAAAACTTTGTACTCCATCCATCTCGAATTAATCATCCTTTTTTCTTTTTCGAGATGTCTAGAAAAAAAATTCAATTCCTTTTTCTGAAAAGCTTTATGGAGTTCATCATCTTTCCTTCTTTTTTTGCATCACTTTCAAGTTTCAATCAACCAATTTCACTTTTTAAAAAAACTTGTATACCCTACCAAGAAGAATAATTTGGGATTGTGAGATGAAATGATATATTCTTCAACCATTCCTTATTTTGGAACCAAAAGTTTAAATAGTCTAGTAGAACTCGTGACTCGTGTGGATCTTCATCACAACCGATGCAAGTTCGAAACCGCTCTAGGCCCATTTAGGGTTCCCTACTTTTTTTCGTCATAAATTAGTGACGAACGGAATTTCCCGACTCCAATCCATCTCCGCCTTCATCATGAAATCCGGCGACAACTCATCCACGGCGGCTCCACCGCAATCGCGATCGAGTTATGCCTCGGCAGTCACCAGAATAGCGGTGGCTCAGATCTGCGGCGCAGCCGGTTACGCGGCGGCGGAATCCTCGGCCATCGCGGTCCTGACGGACATCGCCGCCCTGTACCTGAACGCGATCGGCAAATCCGCCGCGTCCTCCGCCAATTCCAGCGGCCGCACGGAGTCCAACCTCCTCGACGTCGCGGCGGCGCTGGAGGAGCTTGGCTCCGTGCAGGGCTTCCCCGGCGCGTCGGATCCTCCTTCTTCAAAGTCCACCTTATTAAACTCCGCCGTGATCGGAGGCCTCCAAAAGTTCGTCAATTACACGGAGGAGACGCCGTTCGCGAGGCCGCTCCCGAGGAACGTTTTACACCGAAGAAAAACGAAGCTGCCGTTAAAACGGGGCGCCGGCGAGTATGACTCGGAGAAGCTCAGGCACGTCCCCAAGTGGTTGCCGTCGATGCCGGAGATCGAGAGAGACGCGAAAGGGGAGGAGACTTTGGGATTCGGCCGGAGAATAGAATCGGAATCGGAAAATCAGGAGGGAAAGGGAAAGAGAAAGAACTCGCCGGAAAGAGAAAGAAAAGGAACGGAACTGCCATGGAATAGGAGGAGAATAAGGTTTAAGGTCCGGAAGCGGGGGGAATGTAGCCATGGAGTTGATAGGGGGGGAGCAATGGGGAAGCGGGTTTCATGGGCGAATCTGAATCTGAATCTTAGTGGGAAATCTTTGATTAGCACCAAGAAATTCGAATTGGATCGACCAAATAGTATGGTTATGTTGTGACCAAAAATTTTGCACCAAAAAGTTTTGGATCCAACTTGAAATTAATTTTTTGTTCAAAATATGTGAGCGTGCTAAGTATATAAAATATTTAAATAAGTACAATATAATTTTTATATCATGTAAGATTATAGAACTTTTGTATTTGTATAATATACTCTCTTTGTCCCGTAATAAGTTATTTTTTTTATTTTGATCTCTTGATAATTTTGTTTATTATTATATTTTCATTAATTATTTGATAATATAACATATTTTTGTCGTCACTTATTTTGTAGAAGTATTTGGTAGAGTTTTTTTTGTGCAATTTTTTAATATATAAGTTACATTTTTTTATTTTATACCAATTTTTAAATAAAATATTTTAAAGACACAAAATTATCTCAAAATTCCAAAAATATAATTAATTTTGGAAAGGGAAATATGGAGTATTATTTATGTCTAATTTTTGGAATTTGAAAGGTATGAGTGATAGGTAGGGGTGTTCAATCAGATCGATCTGATCCGATCCAAAAATTCAGATATTCGAAAATTTCGAATCGTGTAAAACTCATTCCATATTCGATCTGAAAATATTCTGATATCCAAAATTTGGTTATTCGAACTTTCGAATTGGATCACTGGATTATTCGAAAAGTTAATTTTTAGCCAAAATTTACAAAAAAATGGTAAAATAGCAAAATCAACCCACAATATCAAATTCAATATAGATTTACTAAAAGCAAAATTCCACACTAAGATAGCCTAATAAAAGAAATGATACCAAATTTAATTTGGGAGTAACTTTGGTAGTTTGGTCTAAACAAACCAAAAAAGAGCACCACTAAAGTCTTAAACAAAAAAGTTCCAAAATGCTAATGTATAAACTATAAAGTCCAAAATGCTTAAGTTCCAAAATCAACATAAAATTGCATTAAACATATAGCCATTATATATATATATATATATATATATATATATATATATATATATATATATATATATATATATATATATATATATCCATAAAATTCCATTAAACATATAGCTAAAATATTGGATATTCGATTATCCAAAAAATACCAGAATTTGAATCCATATCCGATCTGATTTTTCTCGGGTATCCCATCTGAAATATTCATAAGCTAAAATATCGAATCGGATATCCATTTTTTCAGATCGGATTTGCTCAAATCATGGACGGATATTTCGGATCGAATACTTTTGAACACCCCTAGTGGTAGGAGTGATTCTATGGTGGATCTAAGGTCCACATGGAACTTCTCACATATTTTTTTTAATTTTAAAAATATATATTTTAACATTTGGAAATGCTTATTTAGTATATATGAAAGTCCACCATGAATCTTAAGTGCATGTAATTATTTGTCAAGTGGCAGTATGACTAATACTCCCTCCGTTCCTAAGTATTTGTCCACTTTCATTTTTGCACATCATCCAATGCACTTATTTAATCCATTTTATCTTGTAATTTGTATATCAAAAAATTATAAAAATTATATATTAATAATCTATATGTTAAGAAAAATCAAACAAAATCACACATAACTATTTTTAGGCTTACACATTGAAAGAATTTGATGAGTCAAAGTGCTTAGATGAACAGTTCCAAATGTCAAAAGTGGACAAACATTCAGGGACGGACCAAGTATGCATTTGCTTAATGAATCAAACTTTTTGATATACATTGGAGAAACATTTGGATATAATTTTCATCCCAAAATGGATTGCACAGTTATTATTTTGTGTTACCTATAGTTTTTGTTTATTTACATCTTTTCAGTAATTACTTAAAAAATAAAATATTTTTCACTAAAATCAAATTAAAAATATTTTTATCACTAAAATCAAAATAAAATATTTTAATCACTTTCTTCGTATCTACGGTGTTATGAGTAATTTGCAATAGTAAACACCCCTTATACTCCAGAAAATTACTCACGGGTGACGCGAATTTTGTTGAAATAACTCTTAGGTCCCTCTATTTTCAAGAAGACAGCAGAGGTCCTTACATTTTGTTGTAATGACTGGAAGGGACATTTCATCCAATATTTCATCTATAAACGTTAATAAATGTATTTTTTCCTATTCTTTTCTAAATGTTTTAAGGTAATAAATCTTAGGTCGCTTCTTTTTTTATTTCTTTGTTTTTCTTTTATTTTGTTACTATTTTTTAAAGTGTTATTTTAGAATTTCTTCTATAAAATCGTATAAAAATTCAAAATTGTTTGTATTATATTAAAACAAATGAAATAAAAAAAATTTAAAAAAAGAAAAAACAAGGTAATAGCAAAATAGGAAAAAACGGTATTGGAAAAATAGGAAAAAAAAATACATTTATTAACACTTACGGATGATGTATTGGATGAAATATCCCCTCCCAGTCATTACAACAAAATATAAGGACCTCGGTTGTCTTTTTGAAAAATAGAGGGACCTGAAAGTTATTTTGACAAAACTCGAGTCACCCGCGAGTAATTTTTTGCCTTATACTGCGTATAAGGTAAGAATTTTGTCAGGGTTTGCAAGCAAAATCTAATGGACACATAAATACATAATGCATTATTTGTAAATTATAATTATTGGCTGGCACGTGATGTAAATGGACTTATTCTTTAAGTAGTGGGCCGTAATTAGATTATACTATAACACTATGTTTGCTCAAGGAATTGAAAAAGGAAAAGATAAGAAAATTAGAGGAAAATTAATTTTTCTTTTAGGGAGGAAAAGAAACAAAGTAGAAGAAGAAAAAAAATGAGAAAGCAAGTTTCTTTCATTTTTCTCAGGAAAATGAGAGATGCATTTCTTTTCTTTTCTTTCTAAATTTTTTGAATCAATGTGTATAAATATTTGGTACTTGAAAATAATAAACCATTTTGTTTTGGATTTTTTTGGAGGTTCACTTCATTTTGGATTTGGGGCGGTTGGACTTCAAAGACAACATTTGGCATTAGGTCCACCTAATAGAGCATGTTAAATATAAAAGTTAAAGTAAATTTTATAAATGATCTCTAATTATATGTGATTTTCCATATTTAGTTCCCAATTATAAGATACGGAATATTACATAAATTATCATCAATTTTTTAAAACTATTCTATAAATAGTCCTTCTCCTTTAGGCCAAATATGATTAAAAAAAGTTTCCGCAAGCAGTCCCCCATGGACCGATTTTGGAAGAGTTTTCAAAAAATGAGGACTATTTATGCAATATTTTATAATTAGAGACTAAATATAAAAAATAATTTTAAACTATGGACCATTTATAAAATTTACTCTAAAAGATATATTTAATTATATGTACCGTTTCTTTTTTGTATAGGTTTCTATACTATGGTTGCTACCATATGTTTATTCCTAACATAGTTTGTAGACTACATTAGATGTAGACCATGTTCTCTTCGTCTGATGTGAATGACTCTGATCTGATTCAAAGATTTGATCTGATATGATGTAAATGTAGTTATATTTAAAATTATTTCTGATCTGATCTGATTCCAATAAGAATAACTAATAAACAAAAAATAAATTAAAAAGAACATGACTATAGACCTTAAGACCATCAAATCACTACTCTAGAACAATATGCCATATTTGTTATTAAAAAAAATACAACATTACTTCTAAAATTGTGTGAATTCTTATATATTTACATCGGTGTTCCAACACTAAACGAGGAACACCGATATAATCATACACCAATTCTAGGAACACGAATCGTAATACGTAAAACCAAGAACCAGTATGAACATTTCCGGTGCTATATGCAAAACCAAGAACTTAATTGTGCACTTAAGATCAACCCAATTGAATCCCGCAACATCTGACAGGCTTCTTCAAAATGGTAATAATAATATCCCCTAAGTGTCACCATAATGAAGGATTAAACACAATCAAGCATCCCATTGATCCGATATATAGCGCGACAATCTTTCAACACACCCTTCCAAACATTTTGCAAATCCAAAACTGTGATATACACACCTTACAGAAACAGAGAGCTCACAAGTAATATACCTGAAGTAAGAAACGCTAGCTAGGAGAGGTTCCATTCCCCGAATGCAAAACCGTCATTTACACACCAAGTGACCGTTAGGCAATGAGTTCAGCATCCTGAAAAGATTATCTAATAGAAACATTCAGCTTCAAAAAATTTTGAATTAATCGATACCAGTAAAGAATTATCCAAAATGGTAAGAGCAATTGAAAACGATATTCCCAAACATGCCCTTATAAAAACAAAAGATCTCGGGTAGTGCTAGCAGAAAACCTGATGAAGTAAGAACTGCTAGGAGGAATGTAGTTGTTGGGATGAATGAACGGGTGAATCAATCATCGTATGAGGCATGAGGTGTAGGGGTACATCCAGGGTGGAATATATCTTCAGATCCACAGCAATGCCAGTACTCAGAAATTTTACCCGAGTCTGGGGTGTTCATGGTACCTCCACTGTACACACTCTCGAACTTCCTCTTTGTCTCTCCTGTTCAATTTAGCAGGGATTTTAGTGATTATGTGGTATATGTGTGTATATACATGTGGGTCTGTTTCTACATATTACCTCTATCCCTAACACTATGCTTGGTTCATGGCATGGTAGTCAAACTCGTGATCCGGATCGTACGATTGTATTCTGCAGATCCCAAGCCTATTTCTGATCTAACTCGCACTGAAAATATGCCCAGGTATAAATACACCCCTTTTCCCACACAAATTGGCACAAATATTGCCTAGGCAATTTCGATTTTCGAGTATGTTTCTTTTTTTTTCTTTTCGTTTTAGGCTTCTGGACTCTGCCAGTGATTTTCACTTACTGCCCTACTGGTAGTGATTTTTACCTATTGGCAGTAGTTTTACAATTCATACCTACTGGTAGTGATTTTTTTTTAAAAAAATGCTTCTTACTTCCTTTTAGGCTTCTGACAGTTATTTATTTTTGTCAAGTTTCTTTTTTTAATTTATTACCTTTATCTTCATGCTTATTATACAAAATTATTTATGTCCCTGTTTATTTTTATACTGTCCAACTATATATATACACACACACACACACACACATATATACTTATTTATTTATTTATTTATTTATTTATTTGTAGGATCTTACGATCCGAGTTACGATGTTACGAAATACGATCTTCATTAGGCCTATCAATCCTACATAGAATCTCG